AAAATATATATATAAACTGTCAACCGGATTGATAAAAAACTCTGACACCTACAAGAAGGCTGTAATCCAATGAATAAACAACAGTAACATCATTTACAATGTTAAAGTATATAAAGGAAAATCTTTTGGGTAAATAAAACCTTCAAATAGGACATTAACACCTGTAAAGTTACAGAGTTGAGGTAGGCTTGATATACCACACATATTTCATATGGTAGTCTTATATATAGTAATTGGTGTCTGATGCTTTAAAAAGTATTATTAAATATTTTCTATAAAAAATTATATTTCTCCAACCTAGAAACTAGCTGCTTACTGTAATCTCAGGCTAAAAAGAATAGAGAGGTAACAGTAATAAAAATAACAAAAATCAAACTGAACTAAACAGTTCTTAAATCAAGAACAATCTCAAAAAAACAAGTAGACCAATTTACATAGAAAGTATTTGGCTAAAGGTAGCTAACTGAAAATTAAAATGTTAACCACTATACAAAGTATTATACATTCAGTGGAGAACACAATATGTCTGGATTTTTAATTCTTCATAACAATAAAACTTAAAGCAACTTAGACAAAAATATTCTACCTCTCCTCCTCAAAATGACTCAATCAACAGGATTCAACTGCACCCCAAAAGTTGATGTAGATCTAGCATCATAACTTTAACACTACTCATTGCTTCTAATGTTTAAGAATCAAAGGAACTACACTGTTCTATTATCTCCAGTAAGCCTTTCCCAGTTAAAACCCAAATATAAAGCAGTGACATTGGATGAATCTACATATTCTTAAGACAGCAGCACAAGAATTATGCTATAATCTGCAATGTAACAGATACATTACTGTTACGATTCAAACCTAGGCAAAGAGCCAGATCACTGTGATTAACTGATTACTGAGAGGATTGAATCATACATCTCAAGTATCAATAACTTGTTATAAATCTCATGGTAACATTCTAAATTGCTGCTTGTTTTAACAAAATTTAAGACTAGCCAATCGTAAGCTTTCATAACATTAAGTTTATTCAAAGGCTGATCCTTTCACCAATTTACTTAAATTTGATAGTACATACATGAAAAACATTGCTTTTAATCATAACCAAACATTTTTCCAGCATATACAGAGAAACGGCAGATAAGGTGGAACACTAAAGAAACAGTACAAACTTTTTATAAAGTCTTGCCAAAAAAAGGGCCGAGCCCGTGGCGCACTCGGGAGAGTGCAGCGCTGGGAGTGCAGCAGTGCTCCCCCTGCGGGTTCGGATCCTATATAGGGATGACCGGTTTGCTCACAGCACTCAGTGAGTGCGGTGCGGCCGGTCTCAAAAGGACAAAAAAAAAAAAAAAAAAAGGCTCTTTCAGTTTT